CCCTGGAAGAGAGGGCTGTACCCCAGGAAGGAATGTAGAACAGATGCACTCCCTCCTACACATCAAAAAGCTCCATAGAGCAGACCAGATCCCACTGCTCCTCTGGACTGCTGGCTGGCCCTTCGTTTCTGAGGACTACGTTGTGCCTTTATGGATCTTCTCTTTAGAAGCTGTTCACCGACACTAATACCACGTCATAGCTGCCACAGACCAAACGCACTCCAAATGCCAACCATTAGCAACAGACATCATAATCTGACGTCTGGACTTTTAGTAACTGCAGTGTAATTCTTCCCTTTTATGAAGCTATCTTCCCCGAAGTATTCGACACAGATCCCACGACACTGCCTGAGCCAACATCTTATTGTGAGTGTCCATGAAATGCATTAGAAGGGTCTTCAAAGTAAAGCACTGTATCCATTAAACAGCACATCCCTGGGGAAGTGAAAGCCAACCTAGAGTAAGTAAAGGGCATAAATGCAGAACGAGCAAGATCACTGAATGTATTTAGGGCCTTGCTGCCCAAGAAAGTCTTTGTTCAGTCTTAACCACCGATCGGACCATAAAATGACAAATGAAGAATCAATTATATTGTTCTGTCCTGCTGGTTTAACACGTTAAATGATCCTATCAAAGCTATTGCCTACCCACTTGTGACATAATTAAACAGCAGGCTCACTCCACAAGAATAAAGGAAGACAATGCTGGGGTTTTATTAAACTTTGCTTTATCCCTGGCTATGGAAAGGAATACAATTATGCCTTAGATAACAAATCTACCCAATTTATTCATCCAAAACATGCAGTGCCTACAGCTTCAAGGGCCAAAGGCTGAATTTTTGGTTGAAATCTCAGGCAAACATGGATGTGAAATGTTTTTCAAATATAACCAAAATGAATCATGTGAGACTAACAGAGAAAACGGTGATTTGCCAAGAAGAAAAGTAGCTAATGGCCATGAGCACGTCCACAGCTAACCTTTGCACAGCTCAGGACAGCAATTCTGAACAAAGGCAGTAACGCAGTTTCCTTTTAAAGTCTGACAAGTGGCTTATGTCCAAGGTATAATCAGAAAGAGAGAAGTAGTTTGGAGCGGAAGGACCATGGTGGTGTAGCTATAGGAAGCCCAAACTCCAAAGCAAACAGGGCAATACTTCAGCAAGGGAATATTTTAAAAGGTTTACTAGTTTTTAGAGAGGAAATATTTTTCATGGAAAATATCAGTTCTCCCTTTCGCCAAATTTCAACACTAAATTCAGTCCCTGAAGCGTGAAAATAGGGATCTCGATGCAACTGGAACTGTGGAGTCACCTCCAACATCTCACAAAACTTATTATTATTCATTTTACAGTGGTCCCAGTCAGGACCAGCGCCTCCTAGTGCTAGGTGCTGTAAAAATACCTATTACAAAATAAAGATTAGCTAGGCCACCACAAGGAATGGAGTCCAAAAAGTGGCTTCGGTTTCCTGAGGAACTGGATAGCCAAGGTCCCACCCTAGAACATCGGAGAGAGACCACTGTTAGACTAAGAGAGTTCACAGGGCTCCAGGTCAGAAGAACATTCACTGAAGACAGCTCATAATCATTTCTCTCTGATCCAAGTGCCTGAGACAGAATATCAGTTGCTGCCAGGAGAACAAGCAAATTTGCTCCGTAACAGGAACATTTTGTTTTCCCCTGGCATCAGTATTACAACTCAGACCACGAAGGGATTTTCTCCTCATTTACAGACTTTAGCATGAAGACCGAGCTAAACCACCAGTCTGGCAAAGAATGCGCTTTTTGGGACACTATCTGGAAAGCAAGTGTTGAACCAGATGAGAGCTGTGTCTACACTGGACAGGGTGCTGGATCAGGCAAACCAGTGACTGCTAAGGTTCACTGTCTTATTTCATTGCTGTTGCAAATTAAGTGCTTGGAGGACTACCCAGTACTGTAAGGGAAGTTTGCTTGTCTACAAACAAGCTACATTTGTCAGGTACACGATCAAAGTTATTGTCACTAAAGAACGTAATCCTTCTCCTGCTTGAGCTCTGACTACTTAATACAATTGAAGCGGTTAGCTTATTTCTGACAGAAGGCTGGGACTCTGGGGGAAACTTATTTCTCTAGATAGTCTGTCTTTCTTTCAGTCGTATATTTAAGAACTGTGGCTCCATTCTGAGAAACTAAAGTTACAAGAAGTCTCTGCTCATTACTAACCCAAGTGTCTTCTCCTCCCTACCTTGAGCAGCATGAAACCCAAAGGTTTTAGGTCCCTGCCTGGCAAGGTGCTCTGTATGGATAGACCCGTGTGCCCACCAAGAGCCTTCCTTAACTTCAGCCAGCGTCCATGCACCTGGGGCCAGTTGCTGGACCGGTGCCTTGGTTAACAGTAGTTCGATACGGAGAAGTTAAGAGAACGGTTGGTCACCCACCTATCGTTCACGGACATGGGAAACACACATAGGGTTAAGATTTCCATTTCATCTGTTTTACATTGTTCAGAATCTTTTTATCCAGGAATTTCCATCTTTTGTTTTTTTTTTTAAGCAAGTAGTTTTGAAATATCTTTAAAGGCTGGGAAGGTAACTCGGATACTTGGAAGAAGTCCACGGATGTGTTTGGGAGAGAGAAAAAATAAATGGCAGGTTTTGCCTCAGTTTGCAGACTTCCGCTATCTGGGATCCATCAGGTTTTGAAACAAATCAGAGTACTTTTCTTTTTAAGCCAGTTCTCCGGATCAGCTGAAATCTCATTCATATCTGTCAATTGTAACATGCTCTTTTACCTGTCAGTCACCACAGCCAACCTAACAACTTCACGGAGGAATTCAACACTGAACATTTCACATACAACAACAAAGACTGGAGTAAGAACGTGCTCTTTAAACATGATAGGTTAGAGCAGTTGCATAACATCAGTAACAGATCCTTGCATGCCGACACAGGAATCCAAAACGAAATCTTTGAAAGCTTCCAGCAAATGAGCCGTCTGGTTTTCCTCGAGCAATAAAGCACCAAGAAGCATGATGCTTAGATATTAAGGGACATAATCCAACTGCAGTCAGTCAAAGTAAGCGGAAAGGCTCCCACTGGCTGTCATAGGAGTTGAACCACGTCCTTAAGTAGTGGACAACAAATCAGTGGTCCAATCCTGAAAGGTGCTGGGCTACTCCTGTGAGACGCTGAGCATCCTCTACTCCCACTGAATGTAATGGGACCTGAGAGTGCTCAGCACTCACTTTGCTTGATTGGACTCCTGATCATTTAACATCCTTGCAGTGCTCTAAACATCAACCTTATACCAATATATATGCACAAAACTGGCCTGCCAGTACATCCACTACATCGAACGCTATTTGGACCAAGACTACTGTAAAACGCGCTCTCTCATGAATTAGTAGCACATCCACACACGCTCGTTGCCGGTTATCTCAGCTAATGCGCTCTGCAACACGGATGTAACAGTCTTGGCCTTTTCACGGATTATTTAAAACACCGAGTTTCTATATAGGGCAAACATTTATATTTGTGAAGAAATGAAAACACTGTAAACATGAAAGGAAAAAAAAAACGTACAACCCCTCCCCCCCCGTGATATTTAGACTGAAAATAAAAGACAATTTATTCAATAGCAGTGAAAGCAAGAAAGCATTCAACCCAATTCATCTAAAAAGCCTCTGAAGAAGATGGCTGAATAGATTTACAACAATAAAAACAAAAAGGCCCAATGACACTTTGATAGGACACTGAAAGCATTCTGCTTATAAACAATGCAATCACAGGTGATTTTCTGCACCTCTCTTCAAGTGTGCTATTTAAAAAAATAGGAGTATGGGCATTTATACTAAAACAGGACCGCTGCTTCGTACAGCTTTGGCTTCTCCTGCTGCTTAATCTCCCCAGATATTATAATCCTGCTTGGACCTCATCCAATGCCCACTGCGGAAATGAGAAGATCCCCACTGATTGCACTGGCATTGGATAGGGCCCTTTGTGACATTTGTTTAATGTAACGGTGAACTTGCTGTACAAGCCGGCATCTTAGCAACATGCCATAGGTCCCCATGCAAAAACCATTTAGATCAGAATTAAAGCTTCACCAGCCGGAGCCCAAGGATGTGTCTGTCTGTCTATGCTTTTATACTAAACTCAATGTCATGGTATCATGGGGGCACCCCAACAGCCACCAGGCATACCCGCCAAAGTCTCAGGCAGACAGCAGATTGTGAATTCAGGTGTTCATTTATCTACGTATGCTTCAGATTATCCAAATATCACAGGGAACAAGGATTTTATTCGGATAATCAGGAATTCAGGTAATCAAGAGGTCAGGAGCCACCCAGCAGGAGCATGCCCTCCCCTCCCCCCAATGACCAGGGCTTGCCTATTTGCACTAGTTAACCTGAAGTCGCTTTAGTTAAACAAGTTATGAAACTTGTGCCATTTCATATCGGGATAGTTAGACCAAGACTACTTTGTGTGTGGACACCCACCTGTAAATACACCTCTACCCCGATAGAACGCTGTCCTTGGGAGCCAAAAAAATCTTACTGCGTTATAGGTGAAACCGCGTTCTATCGAACTTGCTTTGATCCGCCGGAGTGCACAGCCCCGCCCCCCCCCGGAGCGCTATACCGCGTTATATCCGAATTCGTGTTATATCAGGTCACGTTATAGCGAGGTAGAGGTGTACACTGATCCAAGCTAACCTGATCTAAGCCCGTTTTGAACCACCATAAGAGCGCCCCACACAAAGCTGCACTGGCCTTGCCAGAGTTCTCTCCTGCAGGAAGCGCTGCAAATTGCAACCTTCCCTCACTCCCTTTATTCCTGAATGTCTTAAATGTAGTTTCAAAAAGCTACGTAAGACACAGTTTAATCTTCATACTTGCTCCGATGTGTTACGCAGCAGAAGGACCTTGGTTCAGCTAGGTTGAAGACCAGGGCAGTCATGTGTAAGACACCCCATATCAAATATCGATCTCACTGACACCTGCCTAGTGCCCATGTTCTTACCGCTCATTATCCTCTGGGCTTCATAAGGTTCCATGTAGCCAGTGTTTTCTCCTTTCAGCGCTTTGTTCAGCTCACTCTTGGCATCAAACGGATCAGAGTAGTCATCTGCTATCAAGACCTGAAATAAAGAAAATTACACTTTTATTGGAGGAGGGTTTTTTGTAATCTGAGACTCACAAGCTAAAACTAAGTGAAACTAAATCAGCAGCAAGTGCTGGAAGGGGTGACATCTGTACAGTGAAAGTGAGAACAAAAGCTTCACAAGAGGCCTTAGCCAACTCCTTTTAGCCTTGGAAGTAAGGCCCCGATTCAGCAAAGCACTTAAACATCTGATTAACAGAAAGCACCTGCTTTAAGTGCTCTCCTCAAATCAAGGTGTAAGCGCTTGCGTCTCCTCATTCAACCATGGATCTCTCACAAAAGCAGCTCTCCTCTGAGGAGTCTGACTCACACATCACCACACAGGGAATAATGGGACACTAGCAAATTAATGAGATCTGAACGCTTAGCACAACTGAATCCACCGCCGGACTCCAATTTATCACAATACCTTCTCAGAGCTTCCAGAAAGCCTCTCTCCTTGTCACACATTTTCAACACTTAAGATCATTTTTATGTGCTTTGTTAACTCTTGTGTATATTTACACAGCTGTAAACCACAAAAAACTGCTAAAGTACCTTAAAATACTGTCAAGCTACTTCCTAGGAAAAACACACACGTCTTCTCATTGCATTAAATAAAACCAAAGTATGGTTTAAGTCCTTGTTTCTAATTTTCCATTTAAAAAAAGACCATGAGACCAAGCCCGTTCTTTGAGGCTGAGTTTCTCCACCTGATCCATACTTTTTATTCCTTATAAACACTGTAGAAGGCCACTCAATTTCCCGTCATAAATGCACGTGAAGTTAGATGGCAAGAAAGTAAACTGCAATTAAGCAAATGCAAGCGCCACCTCTTTCTTCCTTGATAGATAGGGGCAGGTGAAATTGGGTACTGTGTTACCTGGGACGTGCTGCCTTTCCACTCATTCCCACCCCTTGCTGGCTGCCTGCAACTTAGCCATCTGCCAAACGGGGCTGGAGGCCGCGTCAGCCATTCAGCGGCGGGCAGTTGGTGGCCACAGGGAGAGGGCAGGAGCCCACGGATTAATTGAAAGTCTACAGCGCTGTAACTTTGCACAGCGCTTTACAGAGACAAGGGAAAAGGCCAAGCTGCCCCGAAGAGCTTCCCATCTACATCAGCCTGATGCTGAAAAGGGAGGTAGCGGACCAGAAAGGCACAGGGAAGGAAAGTCCAAGGATGAAGAACTAGAGAGAAGGCAAGCTGCATTGTACCACAGACACACTTGCATTCCCCAGTAACTTTGGCACTGGGAGTAGGGCGAGGCGGAGCAGACAGGGCACAGAACAACAGCAGAGAGTGACGTGAGGATGGAGCCAGCGACGAGTGAAAATGAATGCACCTGGCACAACGTGAGCTGGATTTAAAGTTCCAGGCTTCAGACGCCACATGGGCGAAACCACCTAGGCAAGGGCGGAGTCAGGGACAGCAAGGGGATTGATGGGCAGGGACCGAGCCACACGCCGGCCCAGAGGGTGAGGGTGAGGAGTCTGAAGGGAGGGAGCGTGGGATGTGGCAAAAAGACCAATTTTAGTTCCTGCCCAGACTGGGCAGGGGCTGAGGAGGAGATGGTTACAGACAGTACTCCGCGCAAGCGCGCCATTGTGAACAGCTGCGTGAACTTCCCCATTTAATGTAAGGAGCCCCATTACAGCCAACGGGGCGCCTCATCTGCTTAAGCACTTTGCCGGATCAGGACCTGTGCATGAATCCAGCACAAGCACCCGCACTCCCGTTAGAGGTGGCCGATGGCAATTCGGTCGCCATCTTTTTTTCAAATTAGTCTTTGCGCATGGGAGGGCAGGAATCTAAGAGCTCGAGGAACCCCAAAGACTCCTCGGAGAGATCCTACCGAAAGCCCGACAGCCTAGCAGTCATATGGGTTTGTTTTGTGTGTGTCTGTGTGCGCACACAGGGGGGAGGGGGACTAAAACATACACAATGCACGAATGCATATCGCTCCCATTGTTAAGAATCATGGCCTGAGTCCCTGCATGTCACACATGAGAGAGAGTCACTTACAATGAAGGAGTAGTCGCTATCTGACAGCACACACTATAAGCCAGGGTATTTGTTACTCATACTATAAAAAAAAAAAAACAGCATTTGCCTCATGTCATCCCTACAGGCACAAGTTAATTATTGCAATTCTAAATTACTTCTCTCGGCTGTTTTAAGTATAAACCTACGGTGCCTGCTTGCCACATATAATTTAAAGATATTTGAGGGCCTGGGTAAACTGAAAACCACTAAGATGACAAGGAAAATCAGGAGGAGAAAGAGCAATCCTTTGTGTCACCTAACAATGAAACGAACGGCTTGTTATTGCAGATATAGTTAACTCAATGAAAAATGCTACATCTTCAGTAATGTATGCATGAGCTGTAATCAGCGGTGCTGTCAGAGCAGTGTCAGCGGCTGCGTGCGCTCAACACAAAGACAACAATGTGCATCATGCAGCAGTAATTCCTCGCAGTAACAAGGGCATATTTATCTGTAAAAGCCCTACAGCTGAAACACCATCCATTTACTTTCCCAGATACCGCTTTGTCAAGAGCTGATGGATAGTATCTTGGGCTCCCTGCTGGTCCCCTATTCCAGATACTGACACTGTAATAGCTGCCTTCCTTTAAAATAACGGCACTAAAATGACATGAAACAGAAAAAATAGCCTCATAAGGACAACGTGCTTTATTTGCAATTCCTTCTTCTCTATTTGCCGAAAAGCATTAAGGGAAAAATTAGACATCTAATGCTGTCCAACAGCAGAATGTCAAATGTTGATTTGGTTTAAAAGCAAGACGGTAACATATTCAAGTGCTCCAGGTACCAGACACCACCAGAGGGGCTGAAATGATGAACCTGCTTTATAGGAGGAGACCTAATCAAAGATGCAGCAAACAAACAGATCTGAACGTACGGAGCCTTATTCCCATGTGTATCCTTGCAGAGATTCACACAGGAACACGGGCCCGTGTATGTGGATCTGTCTGCAGGATCAAGCTCATGATTTGTTAACAGTTCTGTCTCCAGCATCCTGCAAGCACGGGAAACCCCCGTAAGAGATCCGTGGACTTTCCCCCCCCTCAAGCGGAAAAATGATTATGTCGTCCGGATGGTGGACGTGCTGGGCTATTCATCATAATCTAGAAATCAATACGTGAAATAAAACATGGCGTATAAAACGTGTAAATGCAGAGGGCTGCAGAAGTAACAAGCTAATGCAGCGTTCACTTGGACAGACACAGGGACCAGCTCTTTCTAAAATGCTGCATCCGTATTTTCTAATTAAAATTAGATCTCTAGCTCCGTGCTGTCAGAGAGCCCCCAGCTGCCGGCATTACTATTTCAGTTTAAATTAGAATTTACAAATTCTCAGCCTAGATAAAGCAGCTGGCCTATGCCGACATATGGTTTCTTTTATACTTGCTGACAGTTGCAAATCCTCGCCGTTTCTAAGAAGTTTAGAGATTTTTTTAAAGCAGTTCGTTAAAGCCCTACGTTGCTTTTATTTGGATCCTTTTCCAGATTAAGGCCAAAAGGAGAAGAATTCTCTAACACTTCCAAATGCTTAATTATTTTTGCATAAATGCATTTAAGTAATTTATATAGCACACCTACGAGATCCCCTCCCCCACCACCATTGTCGTGGAAACAACATCAACAACAGGAGCAGTTTGCATTGGGATAGCATCTAGCAGCCCCAGCCAGTTGCCAGCCCCCGACTGTGCTAGCCACTGTGCACACAATGGCCATTGTCGGCAGACAGGATACTGGGCTAGATGGACCTTTGGTCTGACCCAGTGTGGCCGTTCTTATGTTCTAAATAGGGTGACCAGACGTCCCGATATTCTCGGGACAGTCCTGATTTTAAGGGACTTGTCCCGCGTCCCGACCTTACACTGGTCGGGACGCCCTTTGTCCCAATATCGGGGACTGTCTGTGCTGCTGCTCACCGCTTCCTGGGGCAGCTCCCAGCACCTGCCCGCCGGCAGGAGCGCCACATGCTGCAGGGGCAGGGCTTGCAGGCACCAGGAGCGGGAAGAGAGCCCTCCGCCCCCTCGACCCGACCCGCGACCCTAGGACCGAGAGGGGCCAGCCTGTTGGATGCTTCCCGGGACGGGAGCTGCCCCAGGTGAGCACCGCCGGGACTCCCCACCTCGCCCCCTGGCAGGTCCCTTTGGCTCTTAGGGTGGGGGGGGGCTCTGCGTGCTGCCGGCACCTGCAAGCCCCACTCCATGGCTCCGGCAGCTCCCATTGGCGCTTTTCCCGGCCAATGGGAGCCACGGAGCTCGCGCTTGTGGCGGGCACAGCATGTGGAGAGTCTGGAGACTCCCCTCGCCGCTCTCACCCTAGGAGCCAGAGACCTCCCAGCAAGGCTGGTGAGTGTGGCAGGGTGTGATGGAGTGAGTATCTGGGAGGCGTGTGGGGGGCGCTGGGCTGGGAGGGTGTGGAGGGCGCTGGTGGAGGTTTGGGTGTTTTGGGGTGCTAGACAGTGGAGACCTGTTGGGGGGTGCTGGGCAGTGGGGGAGATCTGTGTGTGTCAGGGCACTGGGAAGTGCGGGTCTGCGTGAGGCATTGTGTAGTTGTGGTGGTGCAGCTGTGGGGAAGGGCACTGGGAGGGAGGAAGGAAGGGAGGGAGGGAAAATCTGTGTATTGGGAAACTGGCGAGTGGGGTTCTGTGTGGGGTGCTGGGCAGCTGTGGGCAGGGGGGCGCTGGGTGGGGTGTGTGCGCACAGCACTGTACATTTGTGGTGGAAGGGCTGTAGGGGGGCTCTGGGCACAGTGGATCCAGGGGGCATTGGGCAGGGGAGCTGTGTGGCCCAGCATGGGCCCACCCCCCAACAGGAAGGGGCACACTGGTAGCACAGGGCCAGGCGAACCAGTGTGCCTCTGGCTCCGGTCGGGGCTGTACACTTGTCTGTCTGTCTGTCCCGCCCCCCCCGGCTCGCCCAATGTGTCCTGATATTTCACTCGTGATCTGATCACCCTAGTGC